GTGGTAGTGGTAGTACTGGTAATGGTCATCAGTGCATTGGTAATGGCAGTAGTATCAGTGCTGTTGTTGGTAATAGTGTGGTGGTAGTGGTAGTACTGGTAATGGTCATCAGTGCATTGGTAATGGCAGTAGTATCAGTGCTGTTGTTGGTAATAGTGTGACGACTGGTAATGGATATATGACATATATTCACATTACCTGTTCAACATCTTGATCATCCTCCAAAGGTTCAACCTTGACTGACTGCACATGTGCAATATGTGGATATCCATCTTCTTCATCACTGACTCCAGTAGGCATGGGACTCTCCATTGACTTGGAAAGATTACTGAGAGGAGGAGAKGGATCAGCTAAAGCACTGTAAGAGAATGGTTCGGCATCATCTGAACTGAGGCCAGACAACAATCCATTATCATCAGTATCAACCACCTATAGATACAATAATTGTCATTGAGAAAGTCAAATCCCTGATACAAATAATTAACTCTTTGATGCAAAATCTTGATTTTGTCTTACCTTAATCAATTCCTCAACTATAGCTTCAGTGCCTCTAGCAAGTGCTATATCTAAAGATGTCTTGCCTTCGTTGTTTCTAATGCTTCTATCAGCACCAGCCATGACAAGGTTTCTGACAGCTTGACAACAAAAGTCAATCTTATGTCTTTCMCCACATGCAAGTATATGTAGAGCAGTGTCACCATCGTCATTTACAGCATTTAAAATTTGACTGCAGTGATCTCCCATTCGTTTTGCTTGCTGCACAATAAGTTCAATACAAGTTTGAAAGAAATTAGGTTTATGGTCTCCATTTACTAGCATACCAGCAGCAGTGTGTAGAGGAGTTTCTCCATGTGATTCATCTTTGACAAGTAAAGTTTCTTTCAATAAACTGACCATTTTGCTAAACTTTGGAGTAAGTTCTTTGACTGTGAACTTTGGTCGTGATTTATACAGCCATGCAGTAGCTCTATGGAGAGCAGTTTCCCCAACACCACATGATTTTGCCACGGGTGAGAACCCACTTGCCAGCATCCATTCTAGAGCATTACATTTACCTAGTGATGCTGCCCAATGTATCAGAGGTAGTCTGTTTTCAATAACGGGATCTGGAACCTCATCATCTTTAGACCAGCCCTTTTTGATATACCGATCAACACATTCCTTTAAACCATCCARGTTAGATAAAGAACCCAACATATCAGTACAGTTGACAATAGCAACTAATAACTCATGGTGCTCAGGACAATCCTTGTTCTTATCACAGAATGGTGTGCATTTTCTAACGACAGGCTCAGGAGTCATTGATGCTCTAGGRTATTCTCCATACATTGAAGCCAGTTGGGATGGCCGTACTGGWGTACATGTGGCCATGACGACAGCCTTGACTTGAAGTCACACTTAAATCTATGTAGATAAATCATGAATGTGTTCAGCAAGGTATTGAGGCAACTTTGCATTTATATTTGATAATAAGTGAAAAAACATCAAATGAGAATTGTGTGAAAATATGCATGATTTAACAACTTCAAAATAGAAAAGCTTGCTCAATAAATATAAATGACAAAGTGGCATTTTCTGCTTAGCTTTTTCACAGTTATCTATCTTACTCAAAGCACTGAGCCAAAATTTCAGTGTTCTATAAGTCTGCAAAACACACTCTTTTGCATGTTTGATGCACATTTGTGTGCTATTTGTCATTTCATATATATTTGTCATTATCATATAAATTGCTTTATGTCTGTCAGCTAGAATAGAAGAAAAGCAGCAATTTACTAAAAAGTGGCATCTAGTCTTGCATATTTGTGTAGAGTAAAACTGATAAAATGTTATRTCATTCCATGGCTACTGCAATGAAAAGGCCATATTTTTTTTATACAGTATAAGAAACGCGACTGATAAAAAGTTAAAAGACCTAAACTGAAGTCAATAATGTAAATTCCCTGTAAAATTATTGCAAAATATTTTAGAATATCTTTCAGAATCTAAGGTAATATTAAAATCATGTTCTTAAAGGATTATTTAAAAAGGAAAACAAGTCTACTCAAATTTTAACAATTCAGCAATTTTTATCTTTAGTAATGGATATCATTGATAACGACTCTGATAATGTGTTAAAACCATAAAAAAACAGCTTGTACAGTGTTAKAGCCAAGACACTTTAATAGTTGTTACTTATATATATAGACTATATAGACAGGAAGGGTGTATCTAAGAACAAACTACACACTTTAAGAGCTCTCCATCATGATTCTGTTAGCAATGCAGTTCAACATTATTTTTCTACCACAGGAAGACCATTCCTATATTTTGAAACAATTTTAAAATCAAGCAAAATCTGATTAGAAAAAGATTAGATTATTGCAATAGAACACACCGAGTAGTTTGAACAGGTTTAATCAAATCAAAGGAAGACATAATTTCAAGCTTTGTTGAGAAGGATACATTTTCTAATTTATGAACTTGGACTTATATTATGTGGTGTTATATAAAATGATACCAGTTTAATTTGATAATACTTTTTTCAGTTTCCTTTGAAAGCTTGATGTAAACAAAACAGCAATCTGTGACTGTTCCCTTGTCTTCTAAACATTGAAATAAAATGACGAAGAAAAAAACATAGAATCTACTTTACATTTTAAATCCCACGACAATAACAATGCAATGCTACTTCACTAAAACYCAAAGGATAGGAGAAAGACTGAATATTTTTAAATTAACAAGTCAAGTGTAGGTTCATGTCATACTAATCATTACACTAATCATAATAATGCTTGAGAATCCCTTTTTCCATGATTGTTCCATGCACATTCAATTATCTTCAGTACTTTAACAGAAATAAGCTATAGGTTTGCCTGGTACATTACCTCTTTAAAGAAAATTACATCCAATTATGTAGAAAATACCAAATAATGCCTGCATTCTAAAGTCCAAAGACATTAGTCAGCTAAATCTGTCCTTTCAAAAGSAATTTTTCTTGTGTTCATTTTTTTTAACCAGCATCCTGACTGGTGTTATCAGGAGAGAGAATATTGGTCTATATGGTGCACAAGCCAAGAGTTATATTACTGTAATCTAGATCTTTATCTGGACTCTTTGAAGTAATATTCAGAACAATGCAATAAAAAAAATGTTTACMACAAAACGTGGTAGGATCATTAACACCATTCTCGCTGACCGGTAGCGCGCACCCAATACCAACACCACTACCAATGGCTGGCCACAAGACAACAGAAATATAAATCATTCATTGAAAAGMGATAATATTGTAGCGTGGACGATGATGTCCTTTAGGTGAAAAAGAGATCTCGTTCATCATGGGGTACTACTTCCTCGAGTAGTGGGGAGATCGAGCGTAACAGCTGCTTTAGCTTCGTCGCATTTCGACTGCTGCTGAAACTAACATGTACACAAAAACAGTCACGCGGAAAATAAATAAAAATCTAACCAACATTGTAAGCTCTATGAATAAATGTCTCAAGAACAATCGAGGAAAGCATAAAAGAAGTTTCTAGGCAAGCTTTTGCCAATTAATATTGGAAGTTGGTTAGCAAGGCTATCCGTGTTGACTTGGAGCCATCGATACTAGGACTCGCTCGTTCAACGAGTTGCCATATAGACGCTTTCTCYTAATTCAATTTTCGAAAAATACATATAATATAAAATAAAATTCTATCACAAATATTTTATTTTGTGTTTCTTTTTATATGTAGAGATAAAACGAAAATAGTGAGCTTACAGGTCGAGAGCGCCAGTGGGAAGCGAAGGTACTTGAGGTCTGGCGGTCGGTAGCTTCGAAATATATTTTCTCATCTGTTTTGCTATTTAAAACTCCCGGGAAAGACTCTTTTTGTCATACAATCCAATAATGACAGTTTAGCTATTAATTATCCGAGTTTAAAGATGAAATATTGCGAAAGAAAGCGAGGCAGAGCGTTAAACGAAACCGCTTCCATGATGTGTTGGCAAGCGAAAGAACCATCAAGAAGGCGCGCTTCTGCTGGTTATTCAATAATCTCTCTCAGCTTCCCCTCGTACCCAGCTGCCAATTCTAGACCAAAGGAAAGATAAAATGGATGCTTCTTTAGTTGACTCTTACCTTGAATTTCTGAGGAAGGTCGGGAGGAATTATTTTTAGTAGAGTCGGCAAGACACAGTGGGCGCTTTGGTAGAGTTCAGTGTGGTGCGGTAAGGGCGGCTGACTCATCACCACGGCTGTCACTGTAAGTGGCTTGTCACATGTCATCGCAAATACGCCACACAAAGGAAGATCGACTGGTGGCATCGCAGCAACCCGATAAAGAACYTATTGTATTGCTGGCCTGCCATAGGCTCATAACAGATTAGATACCAAATGACCGACGATGGACCTCTTTAAAACAGCCTATCAGAGGAGTGTATTTGACAGATACGAGCCCTGGGTGTTTTATTGTGAGTTGGGGCTGTCTGGTGTGCGATTGCCTTTCCCATCATTGGCTTTACATTATTCATCGGAACTAAATGAACCAGTGCGACCAATGACACGGTTCTGTCCACTTGATGTCRTGATATAACTCAATTCTGTATCCAAGACTGCAATTTGAAGGCCACAGGCTTAGCACTTCTGAWCCCCWRTAGGGCCGGTCCAGAGCAGGCGGTGGCGGGTACTAAATGCCGGATGAGTTGGTTGGCAGTTGATTATTCAGAAAAAGAATAGAAATGAAAACAGAAGATGTCTTGCGCCTTCTATTGTTTTAGTTTTAGCAGCTGGAATATGCATGGCGTCGGAATGTTTATAAAYAGCAGTTCAGAGGCGGCCCCATTACACGTGGGAGAGGGATGTTTTCTGACAGTATTCGCTTATGGTGAGCGGGGTATTAAAGATTGGTTTATCTTGCGGTGTCGTTCCATTGTTCTTCATAGTTCTGTGGTTTCCAGCAAGTCACACATTTGAATAATCRTGACAAGTCGCCTAGTACGGGAATAAACTTCTTCTACCTGAGCTCGGTTTTGATGAATGGAACATCCACCGGAAGTGCGTTGAACGGAAGTAGGAAGACTTCAACCGGAAGTTATAGAATATTTTGTTCTTGGTATCAAAAGCGGTCACATCTTTTCACTTTCGGATTTGTCATTTAGGATTATAATTATTTTTGGATGTTATTATAAGGGTATTTTACAATAGACAGTATTTCTGGAGAATCGTCACCAGGTCCTCATTGTCATTGTATGCCAGAACGGTTGACTGAAGCTTGAAGAGAGAATGCTACTTTCTCTCTCCCTTTCAATCAGTTTAACAAAAYCTTAATATAGTCTTATAAAACAAAAACGCGTCAAATTGGTGCGTTTTATTTTGATATTTACACAAATTACATTTGATCAAAAACAGGCGAAACTAGACACTTAACAATCAGTAGATCGATGGCATGGAGAACGTGGTTTAAGTGTATACATTTTGAATCTATGCCAAACCTAAATACTTGTAATATTTTATCGCTGATTGTTAGCGTTCTACTTGAACAAGAGCCGGGAATGTTCGCATACGTAAACGTTCTACTTCAGCTCTTAATACAGCAATCTCTGAGGCCTGTGCCTTGGCCAAGTCCACGAGTTTACGGCGCGCTACAATGTCCTGGTATCGACGTTCAGCACCAGTATCACTCCGCCGTTCAGCTATCAAAAAAAAAAAAAGTTAATCATAGACTGAAGATAGACATGAAAGGGGAGGAAATCTTTTCACTTTCCACTCCCCCCTTTTTCCCTATTTTTCTTCCCTCTTTCTCATTCCTTCCCTTCCATCTTTCTTTTCKTGCATTCCATAGTCCTTACCGTTCATTTCATTGACGTTTCGTCTTTCTGCAACAGATAAAGCCAGTTCTTCAAGGTCCTGATCAAGTTTTGCATTTTCAAGCTCTTTCTTACGTATGACTTTCTTAATTCCTTTGATTGTGTCTTTACGGTCGTTCACATTGCGGTCATGCATCTGAAATAAGATTATCGATTGATTTGCGCGAATTCGAGTATTATACACTGGATAAAATCACTAAAATGACGTTACCTTCTCAAACAAAGACAAAGTTTGTTCAAGAGTTGCTATTTCTTTTTGTTGACGAGCTTGATGATCACCCTCAGCCAAAAACTACAACAAAATAACCGTACACTAAACAAATGATTCAAGTGATGTCATAATACACTCGTTGCGGCTTTCAATCAATTGGTAATTAGAGGTCATTTCACGTACCTGCTGTAGATCTTTAGTTACTCGCAATAATTGAATGTCTCGCGCTTTCGTCTGAAGATCTTCAGCCTGCATATACATTTTACGATGTTCCCTGAAAACAATATACTAATTATAAAGGAGCAAATTGGGCAGGGTATGAATATCAAACTCCATACCATTCTAATCCATGAATGCCCTTTCTAAATTCCTTGCTGTCTTCCATTATTGATACCTTCCCTTTCCCAAGATTCTAAAGAAAAAGACCGCTTTCATTAGTTAATAATCGGCTACATCAGTGATGACCATTTCTATTTTGTGAACTCGTAACACTTATGCATTCTTACTGTAATCTGGGCATTAAGGTCTTCTACAACGGAACGATGCACAAGAATGCTGTCTGCATAGTCTGTAATGAACGGTCCTGTRGGAACTTCAACCTAAAAAGCACAGAGTACGGCTTGAAAAGGTTACATGTAAAATGTTGATCAATTTTGCGTCCTATACGACAACAAAGGGAAAAAAATATGAAAATGGATGAACGAACAGAAAACGAAAGTAAAGTAGGGCCAAATAGGAAAAGAAACGGGAAGGTAAAGAAAGGGAATAAAAGAAAGGGACATACCTGTCCTTGCTTTAGCAATAGCTGAACCTCAAGGTTGACAAGGAATTTGATTTTTTCTTCGCGTAATCTGTCAAAGAATGCACACTTGTTAGTTTGGTTTGTGCAGAAGACATTTGACGAAATACACTAAAACATAAGTAACACAATTTATCCAAATATTACCTTTGTAGTTCTTGAAACGTGTGCTCCATCTCGAGTTGGACTCTATCATCCTCGTCAACTCGTTTCTGAAGAAAAGCATTCATCTCTGCCAATACCAGTGCTTTTGCCTTCACCTGAAAATGAATAGCATTTCATTTAGTAATACTGGCAAAAATACTAATAACTATTCAACATATCACACAACCGCCAATACCATGGAATACCTCTTGTCATCAGTTTACACTAGTATGCACATTATGGYCGTACCTGCTGTTCGCTTTCAACTTTCTGTCTCCGGACATCTACAAGTCTCTGCCAGACGTCCAAGTCAACACCCTCGGGCATGTGCTCCTCGCTATCAAGCTCCACCATGGCTTTGTCGAAATGCTTAGCCGCAGCAGAATGGGCACGAGATGAAGAAGGCCTTGGACTGTATGGACTTCCACCTTGGRCAGGAATGTCTCCATGGGACTCGGCTACGGCGCGCAGTTGCTTCTGACCCCTAACATATGGATACAAACAGATCAATTCCCATTTATTATTTCATTTGTTCATTCATTCATTTGCTATTCATTCGTTTTACCATCATTTATTTATACGACTTTCTTAATTTTTGAACCCCTTCTTTAGAGAACACTTTTACCTTTACTTGTTTCTCCATCCATAACATCCATTCCTTCTCTTTAGGTTGATCCATATATCAATCGAATGCCTCCCCAGTCCATATCCATTAGCATATTCTTACCTTGGCCGTCGTTTAAACAGTTTATATAGCTGCTCCACAGTATGTGCATCCTGATCTATAAACTCTCGTTTAAAKGCTTTGTCGAGTGCCTTATCCTCCGCAACCAGAACCTCATAACCATCACGATACTCATCGACAGAGCGCTTCGCCTCGGCTTGAGCCGACGAAACATTAGACTTCTTCTCTTTCTTTTCCTCCATACGACGCAGTAATTCTTTCTCCTGACAATCGAGTTCTTCTTCAGTAAGAATAGAGACTTGAAGTCGAAGAACCTTTAGACCTTCCTACAACCAAAGCGGATATACAACAGATATACATTTTGATAATTTTAGATTTATCGATGTAACAACCACAGTTGTTCCCCATCTTTTTTAAATACGTTTCTTTAAAAGTTTATTTGAAGTATTAGCCTCGTATAATCTTCAAGGTGCCCGAATAGAAAAGCTAACTGACCTGATAAATGACCATCTCTGTTTTAACTTTCTTTTGGAACAGTAACGCTAGCTTTTCGTCAAAAGCTGTGGTCGCCTCGTTGATGCTGGATTGCAGCTTCTTCAGCTCAGTTTCCAATGACTTTTTCCATTTTTCACGGTCTTCTAAATGCTGTTGCTGTTTCTTTTCAAAGTCTTTCGAGGCCTTTTGTTCTTCTTCGCTCCATTCATCTTGCGGTTTGCYGACCATGAAGTCAGGGGGRACAAGGTCTTTCTTGAGTTCGTCCTCGAGATTTGCCTCAAGACGTCCGTGCATCATCATCATYAAGGCGCGTTCACGTGCGTTGTCCGCTTGTTCTGCCAATCGCCTCTCTAAACAAGAACGAAATGAAAAATTTCCAAAAAATCGGGATAGGAGAAACATGGCCTTAAAATTGCCAAAAACTAAGAAAGGTAGACTAGAAAGAAGTATTAAAGAAAAAAAATAGGCAAAAAGGTTCGATGAGATCGACAACGAAGGAAAAAAGCAAGCAGGGAAAAGAGGAAACAAGGAGAAAAGAATCGCCACTACCTTCTTCTATTTTCTCTTGTTCTTCCATCTTTTTCTTCTCYTCAGGAGATATAAACTTTTTGAATGGAATCTCATCATCTTTAACTTCGAGAATTCTTTCAGGGATTTCGTCATCACTCAATGTTGGTTCAAATATCTAAATACAAAGACAGGTAAYAAATCATTCACATGAACAAAATGTGACTGTCGAAATGTTAGTTGACGACGTACAAGTATTTTCATACAGCATCATCACCCACAACAAMAACAACGGAAACATCAGTATCAACAACAATAACAACAAACAACTGACCTTTTCAGTCATGTCAAGGTCTGAAAGAATCTTTTTAATTCGTTCATTTTTTTCTTGAATTTTCTTGACTTCGCTTTCTTTCAACTTATACGTCTCCTCGAATTCTTTATTGAAGTTAAGCTTGATGCGATGGATGGCATCCTATGAGGAACAATGATATGTGCTCAAAATTATGACAACTGGACAATACTTGGTAATAAGATTGTTGTCTTAGTTACCTTCAGTAAGACGATCTGGTTGTACTTTTGCTGCGTGTTATGTAGCTGAAACTGACTTTGTAGAAGTTCACTGGCACCACCATAAGCTGCTCCTCTACTGCCAGAAGTAGCAGGGTTGGTACCCGATGTTTCCTTGTCKTCTTCGTAAACGTCCTCATCCTCGAAGTCTAATCTTTCCTCTATAAATAAGAATAAATAGAAATTAGGGATATTGATAACTCAAAAGGATATATTTTTGAGATCATTTATCATGGAAATGCGATAATGATTACAATTACGCCGTTAATTWTTTCTGTAGTGAAAGTTGGTGATGATGATATATCATATCAATGACGTTTCCTTACCAGGTAGAGGTGTGTTCCTGGTAGAGGGCGGACCAGGAGTAAGATCTTTGCTTGCTTCAGACTCTGCTTTCTCGATGTTTCTTTGCGTAAGGACATACTGAAGCTCTTCGAGGTCTTCTTTGGTTCTTTCTCTCATAGGATAGTTGGTCACGGATAATGTGGTRCGGAATGCGTTACAAGAACGACCTTTAACTACCATAGCATCCCAACATTCTTTTTTAATCATTTCTTTTAGATAGATACGAGCTAAGTTTGCCATTTCAATTTCTTCTCTTATCTGAAAACAAGCGGTTTCAGAATCAGAAGAGAGARGGCTTTAGTACGAGGATCAAAGGTTTAAAGTCCGTACCACATMTCAKTATCAGAAGTAACTCKTACTAACGTAAAACTCTTTTTTAMGACTCTAGCGGAGGGGGAGAAGRGTGAKGGTGGAGCTTTGGCCATACCTSTTTTATAGTTTCTTCTCCTTCAGCTATTAGCTTCTGCCTTTCTTCTACGTCGAGAGTGAACTCGTGTCTCTCTAATTTCTCGATGTCTGGCAGCTGACCATTGATTTCRATCATTTGTAGCACGGAATTACGTAGGTCTGARATGTCTTTTCGCAGTTTTCGCTTAATGTCAGAAAACTTTTTGTCTTCTTCCCGCTGAGCCTAGAATTTAGAAAAAAAAAAAGAAATCAATAAATCATACTAGAGCGGTAATTTCGATGTATATATTTTAATCATTAATCCATGCATTTATTAATGTATTCTTCATCAACCTGTCACTCAATTATTCGTCCATTCATTTATCTATTCATTCATTGTCCATCTGTTTATCCCTTTAATGACCCATTCTTTCGTTTGTTGAGTAAACTAGCCTTAATCTTTGTTTGTTTCAGTAAAATACCTCTGCCACAGCCTTTTGCAGCCAAGTTGACTCTTCCCCAAGTGTAGGTGTAGGTGTGGTGAAAATACCATCTTTTTCGATCTTTTTCTGTTTTTCCGTTGCTTCTATTGTCGACTTCTCAATGAATGAAGTAGTCGTGGGGACATACAGTGATCTGTTTGCAGCTGCAGCATCTTCGTCCTTCCTTTGACTTGTTAATGCTGTTGATCTTGCTCTTGCAGCATCAAGTGCAGCGGTGGCTTTACTTTTACCTAATACAATTGTGATTCATCATTACCAATGAGAAAATTGTTCAGATGGCTGAAAAATTGTTCTGCGCATGTACTCTTACTGTATCTGCTAAAAATAGCTAGTTATGTATTACGACAATAGACAATAAGTACTCCTCATTTCTTAGAGATGATAGGATAATATCATAAATACCTGTTGGACTAAAATTCCAAGACCAGCATGCMAGAACCCCATCCCCACCGGTACTGAGTAGTTTTTGTGAATCACCAGTAAAACACACGTGTGTGACTCCACCCTTTCGATAATGATGTGCGGGAATCTTGATGGTACGATCCTATGGCAATAATAATAAGATGATTGGATCATCCGACCTTCGCTTCACTCTTGCAACAACGTCGTATGGTAGAGGAAACCGAGTCGCTAAAAACGTGAGCAACAGAGGCTTATGACCTCTACTTTAAAAGTTTAATAATCATATTGATCGGTGATCAYTGAAATCAGAACATGGAAACTCGACTGCAGCCACCCCTACAATTATTTGATACCAATAATAAATATAACTTCACATTTGCGCAAATTAAAATCAAGCAATATTTACTCGATAGCTATTGTCATAAATTCTWGTCAACCACATACCAATGCTCCGACTGCTCGAAGTAATATTTGTCCATCAGTACCCGCGCTTGCCATCCACCGAAGATGTGGAGAGAGAGTCAGATTACCTCCAAGAAGATCATGTCCAATGTACGCTTCTRATGACTTCAGTAACTGGCTTTCATTATTGGGTTCCTAACMAAAATGTAAASCAACATTTAATTTTTTAATAATTTCTCGCATTAAACGTTTTTTAAACCCCTAATTTCGAGTAAAAAGGAATTCTACCACTCATTAGTGCAAAACAGGTATTGTAGAATAACCATTCCATAATTACCAGGGCTTCCTGTGTTAGTGGTAGTTTGATTAACTCCTTACGGTGGCGACCTATAGCCAATGCAGTCTGTTGTGATGTTACCATGACGCTATAAATAGGYGTGGCTAGTTTATGGGATGATAACTTGATAGCTTCATTACGGTACAGCAAAGCTTTATTGACAAAGGCATCTCTTGGATCTAAAATATAATCAGAGATGGATTACTATAACTGGTYGAGGATATAATCCTTCATAATCATTATTTACAGTATAGCAGGAGTCTTTATAAGTTGATTAAGCAACACTTACTGCGATAAAGAATTTCTTTTGTAACTTCAAACTCCACCATCTTACTAGCATGAGAAGAATTGTTTTCATCATAAGCAACAACTACCTTCCATGGCCCTTGGGAATTGTTATCTTGTGCATTAAGGCAACTTATTGATGTAACACTACCTTGGACATCTGTGCAACATAATATTGAATTAAAAGAAAACCTTGTGACTTTTAAAATGAACAAAATACTCTTGGGAAATTTGAGGATGGGGAGTGATTTTTGAGTTTTTGAGAGCGAAGATGGAAATCTTACCGATATGTCCCAGAACTTTAAAGTTATTTGTAACCCTTGCATCACATACAAAGACATGGCCATCATTAGATCCTGTCAGGTAAATTTGACCAAGCAGATCATAGCTAAATACAAGAGCAACACTCATTATTACAAAACTACTATATACAATGTGTATACTATAGAGGTTAGGTAGGTATTTCAATTACTTTACATCTAGGGCATCAGTTGCTTAGTCACTGCCTAACCCTTTTTTCAGGCTTCCTGTCACTCCCAGGAGACCCGACAGAYGGGTAGGCTGTGAAGGAGACTACATTTGCTATGTACTTAATACCAACAAAATATCATATTCAACTTATAAATGCATGTCTCACCATATCTGCTGTACTGGTCCTTCATGAACGTGCACACATGCTATAGGCCGTGGCTTGTTGACAACTGTCATCTCAACAAAGTAAACATATCCATTTGCTGTTCCTATGGCAACAGTACTTGATGATGGACAACATGCCATGCARGTGGTCTATGATGAAGAAAATGATGAGTATCAAATATGGAGGCTGACAACTAAACATATGGATGTCAGTGTATATTTTTAAATATAAATGGTAATGTTGGTCTTACATGACAATCAAGGTGGAGTTGGCTAATCAGTGTAGAATTCTGGATATCCCAAACTTGCAAATGACCATTGGATCTGCATGTCTGTGTATTCAAAAAAAGTCACATCCGTTTTCATGGTGTTACAGTAGACATTGTGATGCATCATGAAAGCCTTACCACACAATAATCTGTTCCACCAAGCAAAGAGTCAACGCCAATTAACTCTACATTATTTACATCAAAAAACTGTGTCAGCTTGTTTCCTTCAGGCTGGTATAGTTGCATACTTCCCTGAAAATTTTAAAATAATGTGAATAAAATACACAAGCGKAGCAAAAGCAGACAATCAAGGTAATTGCAAATCCTTAGTAACATTCATTATGAAATCTCAATATGGGTAGTATTACCTTTGTACTACCAATTGCCAGTTCAGAGTAAGATTTTGACCATGCAAGACTGGTAATGGGTGCTCCTATATCAGTGGTACTAAGTATATTAACAACTTTTCCATTAATGTCCAGACATCTCAATATACCATCCTGGTACAGATAATGATTATTAGGATTTTAATAGTTTGACAAATAAAGCATAACTATTGTTATGATAATGCATACCTGTCCACCTATATAAAGACCATTTTTATGCAAGGCAAGGCAGTTTGTGCATCCATATGTAAATTGAGGGATGGAAATCATCTCGTTGTCTTCTCCTGTATCAATGATAACATCAATCACCACATAACCTACAACTCTTCTCTTCCTTTCTACAACCGGTAAACTAATTTTTAAGACCACAATATAACATAGAAACTACAGTCCTCATGGCTGTCAATTAAAGCTAAGAAAATATAGCAGTACATGCAACCAGTTATTGGGATACACAAGTCAATTACCTTCTTGCTCTTCTTCTAGAACCTCCATAGTGTTTTTTCTCACTAAATGGGAAATAGTGTCTGTTCTATTTCGGTTTTGTTGTTCATGACTTGGTGTTGCTACTACTTTAACCACACTTGAGTCAACATCAACTCTAAGAAGCTGGCCACCAGTACATCCACAATAAATAATGCCATGAGGAGTCCAACAATTACTCACAGGCTCACATCTCTGAATCTTCTCTCCTGATAATGACAAACATGTAATATGGTAATGTACGTCATTGCTGAACTAACCGCTATTGACGAGGATGGACGTGGGTTTCACGTTTCTTCTATATTATTTTTAGCAATACAGTACTTAATTATCATCATAGACATCTCCTTTAGAAAAGCTATAGTATAAAAGCCCTGTAAAACCAAGCTTACCTGGCTCATAGTCAAGAGATTCTTTACCAACAATTCCACCAATAGCAGCCTTAGTAAGTCTGAACTCTTCTGTAGTAAATGCTCTTCCCATTCTACTGATTGATTGGCTTAAATCTTCATACTCTCCATCATCTGGYGTTCCTGATGCTGGTGGAAGCTTGAAAACACTAACAAATSAAGACAAATTGACATCAGATTGTAAGCAAATTTTATAAACAATAAAATACTTTTAGACACACAATTGTTAATCCCTTTGGYTAATACWACAATTTAYRTGAATAAGGGKAAATATCTATGCTTACCTTGGTGTAAGGATATGTTTGTCATCGAGTTGTTCTACATTCCAAACTGTCAGCATTTGTTTACCAATTGTACATAACTGTCTCCAGTTCATGGGATTGAATGATAACTTACTGCAGGCTTGATGATTTATATTAATAAAACACAACTTTGCCTCATTCACCCAGTTCCTTGAAGAGAATACTAGATTTAATATTCATAATCTGGAGGTAAATAGCACTCTCAACAAGGAGGACTGGAGCTTGTGCTTGATTATACAAACATGAACATGGTTTACTGCAAGACAATTCAACTGTAGAACGTAGTTTTCTTACCATATGGTTAACTGAAAGTCTGGTAATCCAGAAATACTGGCAAGAATTGAACTATTATTTGCAAATGCCAATGATGTGTATGAAAGTTTTGCACCATCTAAAAAATAAATCATTTAAGGTTTAAATTCAATCATAATTGTACATAAAAACAAACCATTTCAGAATTTCCAAATTCTAATTATTATTTCCCCCCCCAACCACAAATGCCCTGTTATGTCGCAGGTGTACAATGTACTAATCATAATCTTTTTGTTAATCACATTTAGACCAACCTTTAAGAATTGCTTGAGGTCCACTAAAGTTTGGAAATTTGTAAACAAAAATTTGTGGACTTGGTCTCATCTCTGAGAAGCCATACACTCCATGAGTTGAGTTTGTAGCCAGTCTTCCAATGCCATCCCCTGGACTAAGTAAAAAGGCTTCACTTTTGTCTTTTATGTTGATAAATTTTACAATATTTCCACATATGTAGCAGATAGTTTCTTTATTGACAAAACTTGCAGCTCCACCATCATAGCCTTGAGCCCAACTATGAAATATAATATGAAGTAATCGTATACCGCCTGAACTTAAATCAAGCTTTTACATTTCATTTTACGATAGTTGAAGTCTTGCAAATAAGCTTATAAAAATTCGGTTTAAAACGGCATGAAACAAACACAGTATGCCACTAAACGTAAAAAATGCTAACCTGAGCTCTAAGYTACCAAACTGGTCCATTTAATACTGGTTTTAGAGTAAATTCGTGGATAAACTTCGTTTCTTKTCCACCATTACTATATTTTCGTTTCTTGTCTTGTTGCTATGGCGGTTGATAACCGCTGTTGCATATCGCAGGCGCTTTTACTCAACCTCTCTCATATGTGAGTACACAGGATACCCAAAATAAGAAAAAAGCAACTTTTCAAATATTTCTTTAGTTGTTTCTTTTTTTCAGCATACAAACAACAAACAATTCTCGGAAATAATAACGACGAAAAGGAAGGAGCATAAAAAGCTAATGGCCAAAGGTAATCCCATGTAGGGTTAGGTTATGTGGTTAGTCCACGGGACAGATTTTGCGGAAAGGGGCGGGACCCGGATCATATTCCAAGTCTCACTGTGTTTACATATGAACTCACGTTAGATCAAATGTGAAAGAGTTTGATGTACGTTTATCTGTTAAACTTTTATCCAGGGAACTTACATTTGAACCTTAATCCGCTGTAACTAAGTAGAGATTATCTAGAGAATACTTAGACTACATACCAATGGAGGGAGAAGAGGAATTGTTGAAGGATGCCAGAAGACTACTAGCTGTTAATGCTGGAGAACAAAAACGTTTGGAAAAGCTCCAAAGACATATCGACAAAAAGAGGAAAGAGAAGGAGAGAATGCTGACAAGAGCYCAGGAAGATGCTGTAGTTAAGTTTTATGAGACTTCTGGGAAGGGATTAAATGAATTCTTGTTCATAGAGAAGAGCTTCAAGGGYCAAGGAAATCGCATGATGAAAGCTGTCACTACAAGTGATCTTGTTCAAGGTCACGAAATCATCTCTAATGAAAATACAACAGTAAAAGAAGCTAAAGAGAAACGAAAACAAAATCAACAGAAGTTATCTCTTCAAGAAAAAAGCTCAAAAAGCTTTTTGCCAGAGTTGGAGTTGGCAGTTTTTGGTCTCAAAGCATATCCATTTCAACGAGGCAGAAGTAGGAGCTGGGCTAGTCTGAGTGAAAGTGGTCGACTTGAAAATAGAAACGGCAACAAAGAAGGAAATGATGTGCTCGAAAATAAAGATGAGTCCTGCGAGGAATTCTCTTCTCTTAACACAGGAACTGTTGTTATCACAGAAGAACAACACGAAAAGCCATTATCTGCCATCCTTCCTCCTTTGGTATTGCCACCTTTGTACAGACATAGAAGACCAAGTCTACAAGAACACACGAAAAACTATTATAGAGCAGAGAAGAATTTTAGTATTGGCARTACAAAGAGTTTAAAAGAACATTACAAAGATTTGTCAGACTGCCGATATTTACGAATATATCAACCAAAAAAGAGAGTCTGAATTTTAGGAATCAGGGTAAGCGATTTAAGTCTTATTAAGCTTTCATATTTCATCGTTAAAATTCTTTTATGGCAAGGCCTTTTGTATATTTTCGGTATTGTTACTATTGAGCCATAACTTGAAAGTTTCACCATTTTCATCAGAATTAGAATTTTTAATACAGTTGAAAAAAAATAAATAAAATTATTTTTAAACGTATTGAAGGCACAGCTTCAACAGAATTTGAATTCCCCCTCCCTCTGATCACCGTAGGTGACGAGAAAATACGTCTAAACGTTTCTGTGTGATGGAAATCTTTATTTCAACATTAAACGTGATAATCTACACTACTACAAGTTTGATTGATGCAAATATCTGTCTTTAACAAAAATAGCATTTTTTTACAGCGTTTTTATGTAACAAAAAGTACGTTCTAACTGATTCAGTCTAGGCTAAAAATTTATATCATCTGTGACTATTATTAATTTGATTATCATAGTCCTTTTTGTCTGTCTGCACTTAATCTTTGTTTTCGTCGCTATGTACACAGTTATATTGAATAAACGGCATCTCACTATCCAAGTGCCATCACGTCTTTACTTGCAGCAGTAATTATATACAAAATCTTCCAAAATATCAACTAAATATAATAAATTCATATCAAAACAAAATCATCTAAAAATCATACAAAATCTGCTGATAAAGGACGTGAAAGAGCATTTTATATAGTATAAGTATGCACGTTTACAATATGAATTAGGCATTTCCAGTGAGTTAGAACCTGTCATCCGGGTATGCGTGACGTCACGCTATATCGATTATTAGTACTCGTCTGGGAATTTGGGTTCATTGATAAGCTTTTTCCAAAACATAAGTGCAGCAAGTCGTCCACTTTGGGGCACAAAGGTAGGAAATACAGTGAAGGGCGTTCCGAGATAGTTGTACCCAGGCCCCAGCCCATGGAATTCAAATAAATAGCCGCATGCATCGTGGACAGCGGTATGGTACATGATCATCTCGTGTTCATTGTCATCTTTTTTGTGGTTWATTGGAGAGAATCGTCTTGTTCGCATTGCTTGCTTACTGTCTAGTTTACCACCTAAAAAAATATAATACAAAACAGTAGTCAGATTGGTGTATTAGCCCCATACCATTGCAAATGCACTATTGTACATGTAATGAATATTACAAGATTTCTCTGTGGATAATCCTTATCCACTGATAATTTAATCCATCCCTCGTAAAACTTCACGCTTACAATGAGAACATTCCTTGAAATAAACTGCACTATGTATCTTTTAGTTTTGTAAGCTTGTTCAAGCTGGGATATGTTACAATAACAACGAAGAAGACTGTACCTCGGGGAAAGAGAAGTGCGCCAAAGACAGCATCTATTCCTCCAAGAGTATCACCAATAATTTCCCCACATCGTAGCTGTTGTCTTGATCCCCAGTACCTATCATCCCCGTGGAGGGAGGGTGGACCAACACTCATATCTTCCAAAAAGAATTGAAAACATTGCTGTTCACGTGACATTCGCATATTCTCATTTCGTTGAGCACGGATTAAAAGAAACCGTTTATAGTCTGTAAATAAMTTTGCTTCGTAGAAACTTGGTTTGCCTTTCATRCGAATTTTRATAATGTCTCGCAACAGTTTATCTGCGTCTGGAGACAKCTCKTTTTCATTCTTGACCAGGTTGTGAAGTTTTTGCAAAAGTTTGCCAAGGTTCTTCGTGTCGTCATTTGGAGCGATACTGCACCGTTTATCATTAAAAGAGGAATAGTAAACTTCTCGCAAATAGCTCTCCCTTTGTTCCTTTGTTAAGAAGCAGTGCATAGCTCAACGTAACTTTAAGTGTTGTATAAAATCGTTTGAAAACAGAACAATAATACAAACAAGTTAATTTGCGCAATTACTTAATTGCTGACAAAAGACCGGGACTCAACTTTTACGAATGCGCCGTTCGTTTGAAGTGCTTGTATAACCGTACGATGATTGAAGCACTACCCAAGATCCAGACACATAATGAGCAGAAMAAACGCTTCCTRCGTCTTTATGAGTTGCAAGAAGAGAAACTGGTTAACATGAACAGTTCTCTAACGTCATACGATAAAATATCTACATGTGTTTACCTTTGAGGCACAGTTCCAACTATTTTGTAACAGGTGGCCATTATATTTGCCATTTTTTAATTGGTTGAATGCACGTGAGCCGTCACTGCCCCAGTCCTGGCCACCAGTTATTACCATATCCTCATTACAAGATATATTTCAATTTTGACAGATAATAACACGTGTTTGTCCTGTGCGACCCACCAGCATTTTATCGGATTTTTGCATCCCTAACAAACTAGACTTAAACACTGTGTGGAGGATTCAAAGGGACTTTGACTAAGAGGTTACTTTTAGCTCTTGTTGCCTGAAACAGTTACATGGCATGTTTGTAGCTCATTGATTGAGGAGCCTATCCTACTAATCCTAGGACTCAGACTTGTGAAAAGTCAAAATACTTATTTGGGAAGGCGTTAAGACACTTCAGATGGGTAAAACCATACTTAATAGACTATCGTAAAACACTGTCTCAGACCGCATTTAGTTACTTTAGTTAAAATATTTTTGTGATCATTCAATATATAACATGATATAAGCTAAGGTTTTTGTTAATTGCGTTAAATAGAATGTTAATGGCGAGTGAAGATTAGATGATTCAGATGATGGAGTGAAAAAACAACGTGGTCTCTTTTTCACTCCATACGTACTCTCTTTATCTCACAACATTTCTGTAAGCGTGTTGACCGTGACATAACTGAATACTGGATAATATCGTTGGTTCGTGACAGCTAGTGACGGCACCGCGCAACCTGAAGCAACTACGACTTGGTCAGAAACTTTCCTTGTATAACAAAGACTTTTCTTCTTATGTTTTCTATGCTTTAGTTGTAATTTGAAAAGTTTTTGCTTTAGTTTTCTTGGTTTCATAGGCTCGTATCACACGTAAAGTAGCCGAAAAATCTTTCTGACCGAGAAGTCCCTGGTTACTAGTCTATGACGTCAGAAGGTAACAGCTCGTGACTACAATAGAAACAACTAGGTAATGTTTGTTCTGAATTAAATTTTGAAATCATGGCGAATCTGCTATCCTTGGATAACAAAGTCTTTGCCTCGTATGTTTTCTATGCTGCAGTGTTAATCCTTAAGATCTTTGCTGTTGTTTTCTTGATAGTATATTATCGTCTTACAAGGAAGGTTAGTATATTTCCCATCATGACTAAGCAAATCTGCGGAGACAGTTCAAAACCCCACAATGTGATTGACTCCAWAATTTTATCCTATCCCGCGACAAAGATAAAAGGTTACTTACGGATTTCAGTATTTATAGATCATTTTTTAGCTCAAATATTTGGAAGACTTTATATTTTCACGAGTGATTGTAATGGGGCATCGTAGGATCCTGAGTGGTGGAGTATAGGAAAGAAGCAAGACTGACTCATGGAAAGTTTCCGGCTATCCGTGGTGTTTGCATATCTCAGTGAAATGCAGCTAAAAAAGGCATTTCGTCTTCGGTAGAGGACTGACACAAGATAATATACATATGTGTGCATTGTTGAATGAAGTTTGCTTAACCTTTTATTAAACAATCAAAAGATTCAACTCGGTCGTAACAAATCAGCGCCCAAAGTCGCAAAACATATTGCATATTACAGTAATGTGTGACTATACCAGTTTTTGCTATAACAAGCTATATCCAGTATGGATACACGTTGGCTGTACCAGTGTTGAACATATTAGTTTTGCTTTGTTTTGTCAAAACATCTGTGTTTGATGCACAGAGAGTATTGACCGCCATATAACAAAGTGATTTTGGGAGTCAGAGAGCCAAAAAATAAGAACGCTACATTTCCGCGAAGTCAGACTGAGCAAAGGTTAAACAATAGTACCACTTGTGGCCCTTGTGTTATTCATTTGCCAACTAGCGTGACGTATTCAAAGTTACTTGCTATTACTGTTCTATCTAAATAAATAACAGGTCCTAACAGTTGCGGACATCACTTCATAGGTTTTCCCGTCTGAAGAAGATTATCGTGTCCATCCGAAAAAGGAGAAAGAGGAAGGAATAAAGACTCATCCAGACGTAGAGAGAGCTCGTAGGTATGAGTGATGTACAAATGGAAGTAAAAACTTTATACGGACGGAAGGGATGGATATTGAAACGTC